ATTAAGTTTAGGTTTTCTTGAAATTCTTATTTTAATGGCCAAGTGAAATTTGCAAATTCTAAAAGTTCATTTTACATACTAAGCTAAGCAGTCAAGACTTATCTGGTTATTACTTGAGATCTTGCTTCTTGATCAGCTTGCTTTAACTTGACCTTTATTTTCTTCAATGCTTTGGCATCATCAAAACTTTGTGCATATTTTCTTCCACACTTTACAATGGGTGGTGAGAGAATCACTTAAGTGAACTTGACACCACGTCATAACCCAAAATCTTAAGGCATTAGGTTAATGGATCATTGTCACTTATATACTAATTAATATGTCAAACTCTATCGGATGTGAGACTCTTGTTCAGCTTAAACTCTATCACTCTTCCTCAAGTGCAGGTCTCTTTCACATGATATGTTCCCCCTCAAGCAAAAGTCTTTCTTATCATCCACAAGTATTTAATGATTGTCTACTTGCACCATTGTTGGCACACATCAATAGGACATGTCGCCTACATCACTAGGAAGACTTTCGATGTAAAAGATGACCTCATTCTTGGATCTCTTGTCTATTCCATCATTAACAAAAATAATAATAATAAAAATTTGGGTGTTACATTGCATCTCCTCTTTTAATTGGCTTAATTTATCCTCATAAGTTGCTACAACTTGAGAGACCTTCAATTCTAGCAACTGGTCCACTGACCCAGATGAATGTGAAGATGACTGTGGTCCAAAGTAAGTTTGCAAGGTATGACCTCTACCTGCTGCCCGAACTCGACCTGTGTGCTCGGGCTTCCCAATGGCAACAGTGAGTATATCCTGTCGTCCATGGGAAACAAAAGATCCCTCTTTCGCCTACTGATCTAATATATCCTACAATATATGACACATAAACAATTTAAAAAATTCTTATCAATCAATATGTTAATTAGCATCATATGAACAACATCTTTAAGTCTTCCACCAATGGACTTAAATAAACATCAATGTTGTTTGTGGTTGCCTTGGACCAGAAATCATCATAGATAGCATTAAATATTTGCGTTTCATGCACAACCACAAAGGTAAATTGTAAATTGTCAACAAAACAGGCCATGAACTATGCTTAATACTTAAGTTACCAAACGGATTCATTCCATCCGTAGCTAGTCCAAGCCTCACATTTCTTGGCTCCTTGCCAAAATTTGGAAACATAGAATCAATTTTTTTCCATTGCAAACAATCTGCTGGATGCCTAAGACTTCCATCACGCTTCCTTTCATCTTCATGCCATCTCATTAGCTTTGCTTCATCCGCATTAGCAAACAAACGTTTTAATCTCGGAACAATTGACAAATACCATAAAACTTTCGCTGGAGGACCCTTAGTGCTCACATCATAATCAGAATCATCTTGTTTCTTTTTATATCGTGACAACCCACATCTTGGACATTGATGCAACCCTTCAAACTCACCATGATATAACATACAATCATTTGGGCACGCATGTATCTTCTTATACTCCAAACCCATAGGACACAACACCTTTTTTGCCTCGTAGTTACGATTAGGCAATGTGTTACCCTCTGGAAGCATTTCTTTCAGTAGCTCTAACAATTCTGTGAAGCTTTTATCACTCCATCCATTTCTTGCCTTCAAATTGAACAATCTTAATATCGCTGAAAGTCTTGTGAATTTTGTACAGTTTGGATACAACGGCTTCTCCAAATCGTTGCAAATAGTTTCATACATATGTGCACGCTTGAATGATTCTGGATCCACATCACGAAGCATCTCCTCTAACCGATCATCCATATCTATCTCTTGTGTAAATGTTTGAGTTTGAGTTTCGACTGATACACTTTGAATGTCAACATTTTCACCATGCCATATCCAATGTGTATAATTCTTAAGAAATCCATCACACAAAAGATGTTCTCTTATAACATCAAGTTCTAGGCGAGTCGCATTACAACAATTAACACAAGGACAAAAAAACCTTCCATTCATGTCATCATTAGCATTTCGTATTACATATTCAATAAAATATTCTACTCTAGTCTCATACTCATCACTTATACGTGATGCATGTATCCAACTTCGATTCAATAACCAACTTTTATCCGTAACTTCTGTTCTTCATAAAAAAAAACATAGACCATGAATGTTAATCTCACTATTTTAATCATTTGTATTAAATTTCAAAAGGGAAATTAAGGTTCACTCAATATGTGCATAAATATAACATCATACTAATTTATAAAAATCAAATAAAGCACCTAATTTTTCTAAACACTAAATTACTAGCTAGATTATATCACAAATTATTAATAAAATACAAATATATAACACATACATACAAGGGGTCTAATTTAGAAAAATGCCTAAAACTGCTTGCAATGCCTAAAATTTAGTCTTGAACGGGCCTAGAACGGGCCATTCTACAAGCAGAACGGCCTGTACTACAAGCAGAACGGCTTGTACTGCTTGCAGAACGGCCCGTTCTGGGGCCGTTCCAGACTCAAAATTTGCCCAGATACAACGAAATAAGAGACATGAGACGAGAATGTTACCTTGATGTTGTATTCTTCCGAGAAAATAAGAAGCTGCACACTTCAGATGAGAGTCCGAGAGAGTAAAGAGAAGAATATATGATATTGAAGCCAAAGAGTAGAGAATGGAGCAATGGGAGCGGAGATAGTATAGATTAACCCTCTGATGCTACTTTTAAAATCGGTTGTTCAATAACTGAATTTAAAAGTGGTACTTTTAAAATCGACTATTTAGTAGCCGATTTTAAAAGTAGACTTTTAAAATCGGCTTTTCAATAGCCGATTTTAAAAGTGGACTTTTAAAATCGGCTGGTGAACAGCCGATTTTAAAAGTAGCATCAGAGACTTCTAAAATCGGTCATAACGTAGCCGATTTTAAAAGTAATGCCATTATTTACAAAATTGTCACCGCGTCAGTTTTAAAATCGACTACCTTATGACCGATTTTAAAAATTATTTTTATACTAGTGTAACTACGTGTGTTAGTTTTCATGGTGGGAATTTGTATAAGCTTAAGGATGTTTATTGTGTAAGAGTATTGAGTGGGTGGAGATAGAGAAGGGAGAGATGGTTGGTGGTTGCTATATCTCCTTAATTTAAACATTAAGATATTTAATTAAGTTCATTAGGTGTATATTTTTTTTAAGTTGAGTAAAGTTATTAATTTTGATAAAAATAAGCATCTATTTGTTTAAAGTCAAAAAGTTTTTAAAAAAAAGTATTTTCTTAAAAATTAAATAAGAGTTGTTGCTTAAATAGTATAAACTGTTTTTTTTTTAATCATTTACACAAAAAAAAATACTTATTTTATTGGAAAAAAGTAATTTTTAATTTTTTTTAAAACAAACGGAGATCCATAAACCTTCGACATATAACTGGGATGTGTAACCTCAATCAGATTTTACGTTAAAAAATTTATAAATTGATAAATTTTGAAGTAAAACAAATAAGCACGGATAGCTTGGACAAATATGTAAGATTTCATGAACTTGATCTAATTGCTAGTTCAAGTGTTTAAAAACTTTAGTTAATCCAAATTAATGTCCATGTCTTTCTTACTAGCTATTATTAGATTTTTTTTTTTTGGAAAAGGCAAATAACTAGTATTAAATTTTAATTATCAGGGATAACGTGTTTGATATTAACTCACGTAATATCCGAAAGAAAAGTATATAGATGAATAGAGTTTCATTTGAAGTAGGCACAAATTTGATCCTGTCGACTGAGAACCTGTTTCTTTACTAGTATCAATGAATTTTCAAGGTTATAGCCACCTAATATAATATTAATTAATCAATGAGGTGAATGAAAATTACGTGCCTTAAAAGTCATAAGTAGATGTCGCGTAAGCAATTTTTTGTTCTGTTCCCCCTCGCGGCTGTTTGAACTTTACCCGAATTTGCGGTTAATAAATTAAGTTGTTTAGCCCATAGAGAAAAGAAAAGTGTCTGAGCATAAGCTTTCCAATCATTTTCATCATGGCTCATTATGACGAATGCAAAATCAAGCGAGGGAAATGATCAATACCCAGCTTGGATTTTTATATGATAAGAATGGGTTTTTATTAGAAAAAAAAAAAAGAAAAAAAAAACTCTCCTTGGTTGTTAGAGACTACTTATTGATGTCATTCATACGGAAAGAGACAAAAATAATAAAATTGATTTGAAACAAATAATTAATGGGGATTCAAATATATAAGATAGATGACTCCATTCTTATGTGACTCAGCACTGCTCAGAAAAAGGCATGTTGAAATATCAGCAAGCATTTGGAAATTGAAAACATTGACGAGCCCTGAAGTCTTAACTACCCACCAGCATCTACTCAACTGTATACATGCATGTAGTGGACAATATGGTCAAGTCCTTTGCCCTAGCTATCTCATATGCGGGAAAGTAAAAAAAGCACTAAACTAGATGCTCCCACACTATTAAGTTAGCATTTTTTCCCTTTAAATTCTATTGCAATGAGGCTACATCATTTTACTTCAATATGATTTGTTCCAAACCATTAATTTACGTACAAACTTAATTGACTACTTTTAATAATGTCTATTTTCTTAGTTATGTTTTTTTTTTCATCTTTAACATCCTTACTTAATATTTTATTTAAATAATTGAGTTTGGTATCACCCCAACATACAACTTATTGATAGTTGTTTATTTAGTTTAGTTAAAGATAAGTGATGTTATAGGATATATTATATGATTTTTTATTTTTTTACTTAATGTTAAGTAATATTTTTGGCACATATCTCATATGTTTATCGAAAAGTTAAAAGTTAATGTAGTGCCAAATTAATTTATCAGTAGATTTCATGGTTTGGAGTCGGGTCTTAAAGAATTGTGGAGTCCCATGTGAAATGTAATGTGTGTGCCTTCCTCTTAGTAATTTAGTATTTGTAGCTTTTTAGCTTCCTTTACGTATATATATAAAAGATGTTTGTTCTTTAATGACTTGAGAATAGGCTTGATCGCATATCAAAGAAGGTGTAAAGGAATGTGATGGTTTGCAATCAAGGACTACAGGTCTTCACGTGCCTACAATGATGAGAGAGAGGTTCATTGGTCAAGTCAATAAAGATCGAAATCTAAAGGTGAAGAATGAATTTGTACATAACTTACATGATCGATTTGATATGTTTATATAACCATATTGAATTATGCTAATCAAATGTTAATGTTGATCTCAAAATGTTTAGAGAAATATTTGATTGTATAATAAAAAAAATAGAGAAATACTTGGTGGTTACAAGATTTAAATGTACATTATTTATTTGGTATGGAGCATAATACACATGTTTGAATATTGGACTAGTTTGTTATGTTAGTGTAATGACTTGTAAGTTATTATATTTAGTTTAACATAACTATTACACAACAAAAAACATAAAGAAATAAGTTTTACTAGGATTTTCAAGCAACAACATATGGATATTCATGTAAAAGATATATGTATAAGATGTAGAAAACATAAAATAGTTTATATCAATATAACTGGAAAACATAAAGTTCCTTATGGAATTACACATAATCTCTGTACATATATATACAATATGCATCAAATATACACTATTGTATATAAAATAACCCTATCGCCAATCAAATATCTATATTCAACAATATTGTATTAGAATGATATACTCAAAATAAGTCATCCCCAACATGACCCTCCACCAACAAGTCAAACCATCCAAGCTAATCATGTCCTGCTTTCATACAAAGTATGTTTATTGCAATCCAACAACAAGGGGAAAATGGGTAAACTTACGAAAGAATCAACATAATAACAACATCAGAAAAATAACAACTTCATCAATTAAATTTAACTTAAAACAATAGGTTAGTTTCTAATTTAAAACATAACCTCAACTTGCAACATTTATCACAACTTTCAACAAGAACAACATTCTCAGCATAAACAACTTTAATCATAGGTTAAACAAATTTAAACAATTAATGTGTTGTTATGTATATCAACTTATGGATGTCGTACAACTAAGGTGAATAGTCTAAGTAGTTTGATTCTATTAAATCACTACATCTGACTTATCTCATCCAGATCAAGTAGATATAACATCATCTCACTCAAGCACTTGTTTAACAACTTAAATTGACACTAGTGCAAAAATTGGATTTAAAATTGGAGTTTTAAGATCGGTTACAAGGCAACTGATCTTAAAAGTGACGCGGTGGCAATTTTGTAAATAATATGAACACTTTTAAGATCGGTTCAAATTTAACCAATCTTAAAAGTACTTTTAAGATCGGTTCTTTTGTAACCGATCTTAAAAGTGACACAACTTTTAAGATCAGTTACAAAAGAATCGATCTTAAAAGTTGTATCAGACATAACTTTTAAGATCAGTTATTTTATGACCGATTTTAAAAGTGCTACTTTTAAAATTGGTTATTTCAGAATCGATTTTGTATGTAGTATAAAAAATTGGTTCTTAAATAACCGATTTTAAAAGTATCGTCAAAAACCTTTTATATTTCCCTCCAATCTCATTCTCTTTAATCTTTCCCTCCATTCGCTTTTTTACTCTCTCGCACTCTCATTTTCTAAAGAGGTAAATTTCGTTGTCGTTTTCGTTTTCGTTTTCCTCTTCTTGTATCTCTTTTCACTTTCTCATGCTCTTCTCTTCTCTCTATTTTCGTTGTAGGTTCATTTTGAGTAAATTTCAAATCTGGAACGGTCTGTTCTGCAAGGAGTGCAGGTCGTACTGCATGGAGGACGGCCCGTTCTCCTTTCAGTACGGGCCGTACTGAATGGAGAACGGCCCATTCTCCTTTCAGTACAGGCCGTACTGCATAGAGAACGGCCCGTTCTCCTTTCAGTACGAGACATACTACATGGAGAACGACCCGTTCTCCTTGCAGAGCGCCCCGTACTGAAATGAGAACGGGCCGTTCTGATTTACCTTCTTCAATTAGTCCTTTTCACAATCTGGAACGGCCCGTTCCAGTTTTGGAACGGGCCGTTCCAGTTAACTTTTTTTCTTAACCCGCACTTTTAAGATTGGTTATAAAACAACCGATCTTAAAAGTTTACTTTTAAAATCGGTTATTTAACTGATTTTAAAAGTCTCTTTTAAAATCGGCTCTTTTAAAATTGGTTACGGAACCGATTTTAAAAGTTGAAAATAACCGATTTTAAAAGCTTTTTTTTCACTAGTGTGATTTATCAGGTTTTGTGACTTAAACTAAGAAAGTCTAGTATTATTGTCAAGGTAGAACAACTTGGGTGTGAATCTACCACGACCTTAATATGCATATCTAAGTCTCATATGGAATTAACCTACTAACTATCCTTCAAATACTTCTTACCCTTTCAATAATCAGTCAATTTTATCCCTTGACTTCATACCTTATTCGATTTTGGTCACTTATAACACATATGGCTCAACCTATAGTCCCCATACAATTCTACATTGGTCACTTTATAATCAATTTTACTCGATCTGACCTCCATATTATTCCACATAAAATCTAGAAAATACAACTTAAAAATTACTTTCTATTCAAAAAGAAACTTACTCACTGAAGGGTTTTCATCGTTAAACTCTCAAAGCACCACAACTTATATCCATACAATAGGATATTTTAATTTCTAAAACAACTTTACTCTTCTTTGGTTTTTATGGATCTCAACATAAACATGCATGCATCACATCATCACATGTTTATACAACTTAACATCTTAAATCAACTAACAACTTACAACTTAGTCAACTTTTCATAAGCAACTTACAACTTAAGCAACTTAAACATCATTATACATCATCCTAGATTAAAGCTTAATGAACTAGAATCATACAACATCATAAATTATGTAAGTAATCAATCTACTTAACATATCTCCAACACTTATTTAAATAAACAAGTTTTCATTCAACAAACCATGTTTGACGCCATTGTCTCAACACTTAGCATCATTGAGGTAGAGAGCCTCTAGCTCGCCCATGCTTAGCGCCAATCCACTTGCGCTCATTGTGAATGAAGCAAAGAGTCCCTATGTCAATCATGCCTTACGTAGCTAAACCTACACCCAACTTTATCAAGGCAAAAAGTCTCTATCTGACTCACGCCTAGCGCCATAAAGCTTGCATTCAGTGTCATCTAGGTAGAGAGCCATTGACTTTATCATACTCGACACCACTAATCCTACACTTGACGTCACCGAGTCAGAGAACCCTTCAAGCAATCATAGATGGCGTGACCAAGTCAGAGATATACCCACCGACCCACATCCAACGCTACCAATATTCTTGCACTCAACATCGTCAGGGCAGAGAGCCCTCTACTTGAACAATGCCCAGCACCATGAAGGGATGTCCAACATGATGGCAATTTTTGCACATAGTAGAATCTCTAATTTGGCTCAAAACATGCAAGAATCACATCTAAACCAACGTGCAATCTAGGATTCAACATACATGGACTATAAACAACTAAAAAACAACACAAAAAGCAACATGCAACCATCAAGAATAAAATTCACCAAGTTCTTTTCAAACATCTTCACAACATCACTTAAAACAACAAATCTCTTCTTATGATTCAATCAAATTCAGACATCAAAAGATTAACCTCGTGCAGAATTCAACTACTAAACATATGAAATATCAATCAACAAACTTTCCTTACTTTCAATCACCCGAAAAATCAAGAAAGGGAAGGAAAAATCAAAAGTCTCCAAGGTTGTCGTATAACTCTCTCCATTTGAGATTCTCAACCTTCAAGCCTAAAATCTTCAATTTCTCAACTCTACTTAACTACGGGAAGGATCTAGAATGTCCTTGCAAAATCATAGGAAGTAAATGATCTCATGCGCTCTAGAATCTATCTCTGTAACTTCTTTCTAACTTTTGTTAAGATATAAACTTATAAAATTCAAAATTTTAAAAAAAATCTTAAATATCGTTCTCTAAATTACTTTGACCACTTTTAAATTTTGTATTTTGTATTTTTTTTATATAAAAATCCTTCCATTTATGTAATCTACCCAAAGTCCTTCCTATTTTATAATAAGCTGCATTAACTTCCAGATAAATTAAGATTACTAAGTTCTTAAATGACAAAACTTTTAGAATAACATTCGAGTAAGATAAAATAATAAAATAAATTATCATTTTATATTCAAAAGTAAAAAAATATATATAAAAAAAAGACTATTTTAAATTTTTTAATAAAAAATATAATCAAAACTTTATCACGTGATTTATTAATAAGATGGAATAAAAATAATTTTTATTAATTAATTGTTATTGATATTTTTGTTATTAATATTCTTTCAAGGAATTTTGCATAATCTTTAAGAAATAAAATTGATTTAAGATAAAATTAGTGTAATCAAAGTTGTTGTTAATATTATTTAAAAATCAAGGTTCTGGATTTTAATTATATCATATTCATAAAATAAGAAACGTTTTGAGCAGTTTTTAGTAACAGAATAAATTATATAAAAATGCAGAATAAAAAAAAAGTTGGGAGTAATTTACTGATCATTTAATGTTACAGAAATAAAAATTTCATGTGGTTTATGAGTTGACATACTGTAATTGAGAGAGATTGTTGGAAGAAAAAATAAATAAATAAATAAATATATATATATATATATATATATATATATTGATCATTTTATGTCAATCGTTTGCATGGTAAAAAAATGTAAGCGTACAGTGGCGAATGGGCAACAATTGACGAGAATGACTCATGTTTAATTTGATCACGGTGCACCGTGAAGCAGCGGATAATTCCCAAGGTACAGTGATAAACTTGGCTTGATTTAGAAGTGATCCTGCATACTTAGTCAGTGAAATGGATGATGATGAGGCCACTTTAATTTATTCGTTTGGTACATTTTTCCTGAGAATTTTTTAATGGCATAAATATCTTCAAACATATTAAAAGACAAAAAATGCTTAAGATAGTTTTGATGACATTAAATGATTAAGATAGTCTGATGATCAACCCTGGTTTTACTTTGTCCATTTGACAACTGAAACACCACCATACCTGTTTCAATTCTCCTTGCTGCTTCCCTTCCTCGCAACGTGAATGTTATTCTTTGGATGATTTGGACTCATTTTCTGCTTCTAATGGCTGTAGCCAGCTAACTGCACTCGGACTTCATGTTTGTTCAAGTTTTACCTCCCCATTAGGTAATTTTTTTCCTGAAATTTTTAGTCTTTCACTTTCTGAAATGTAATTCTTTTTGCTTTTTGACCTTTAAGATAACAAAATCTTTGATGGGGTGCCTTGTCATCCCTTGATTGTGGGTGGTCTCGGCGGTTTTTGTTCTGTGAATTAATAATTTCAGAATTCAGCCTCTGATATGTGAGTCTTGGTGCTGTAACATTTTTTCCTTGTCCCATGTTTTCTCCAAGTTGATGTGTTTCAGAGATAGAAAACTGTTTTTTCTACTCTGACTCTGACTGATACCTTAAATCTCAGAAGGATATTACTAATTTATTATTCAGCTATTTCCTATTATGTTTGCCTGTCCATAAAGATGATGATGGTAGTCGTCTGATCTGGGTACTCAAATGAGATCATTTTTTCCTCTTCAACTTGCAATTAGGGAGATCTTGACTTGGACTTGATTGGATTGATTATTAGTTGTATTTTGGGTTGAATGCTTTTGCTACTCATGCTCTTGGTACTGTGTGCTTAATTGTTTATTACTCTTTTCCTTTAAGCTTTAGTCAATCTGCTAGTTTTCTCTCTGATTAGAACTCTCCGGCTGCTAGTCTCAAATTTGGAGCTCAAAATGAGAGGAATTTGGTAGAAAGTAGAAACAAGTTTGGGAATTTGGGAAATATAGTTCTTTTTCTCTCTCTTTCTTCTGTTAGCAAGTATAACTTTAACATTGCAAGGGCAGTCAGATAAGATGAAGAAAATATTATTTGTACTTACTGTAAAATGGCATTGGAACCAAGGCCTTTTTGATGTACACTGCATGTTGAAGAACTTAAACTGCCTTAGTTTCAGATTTTAAAACAAATCTCCAAACATTGCTACCTATTTAACTGCTTTTACTAAAAGTGAAATATCATAGTTACTATAACGTTCTAATGTTTCTTTCCATTAGCTGGTAGATTATGAACTTAGTATTTAGACTCATTTGTGATTGTTTTCCCAATCTTAAAAAGCTTCTGTTTTCTTACAATGTAATTAAATGTGATTCTGAATTCCTTATATCTAGAGTTTTTACCTTGTTGAAATTGAGCAGAAGTTTATATTCGTATCTGTGAAGAGTAGCTTTCCAATTATTTTTCTGTCCTTGCACCAAGAATGACACCAACATACTCATAGATCAGGCACTGCATTTTGTGCCAAGCTGATGCATTATTACCTTTGAAGAAAGCCCTTCAGTTTCAACTATGACCACTAATTCATCTCTTCCTTCTGGAGTTCATAATGAAAAACAGATTCTCTTTGAGGTGACTTTCTGAAACTGTCATTACTAGCTATGAAGGCTTAGAAAAAGTATTTTCTTCAATATCCTTAATTTTGAACTTGGTTCATGTTCAGATTGGAAATTCTGAAAGGCAGTTGTGGGCCTTGATCCATTCTAAAGGCCTATTACACTCTGATGTTCAAGTCTTGTATCGCAACATCAGGTCAAGTTATGAGAGAGCAATCTTGAATAACCACACTTATTCAGAACTTCAAGATGTTGAATATTCCTTGTGGAAGCTTCACTATAAGCATATTGATGAATTTCGCAAAATAATTAAGAGAAGCTCTGGTAATGCAGAGAATAAGAAATCAGGAATGGCACAAGATGGTATTGTGCAGATAAACAATGACAATCATATAAAGGAATTTAAGTCATTTCTTTCGGAAGCTAGTGAGTTTTACCAAACTCTGATTGTAAAGCTCAGAAAGCATTATGGTGTACCAGAAGAGGCTTTGTTTCATAAAATGGGTTGTGTTTCAACTTCTTCTGAACCAGAATCCATGCTGAAATGTCAATATTTATGCCACCGCTGCTTAGTCTGTATGGGGGATCTGTCCAGGTATAAACAACAGTATGAAAACCTTGACACTCAAAAGCAGAATTGGTCAGTTGCTGCCACTCACTACTTGGAAGCAACAAGAATTTGGCCAGATAGTGGAAACCCTCAAAACCAGGTAAACTTTGTCTTGGTTTAAAATTAGATTTAGAACTTGTTTGGGTAAACTTCTCAAAAAGCACTCTAGGAGAGAAAAATAGGAAGGAAAATGAATTAAGCTTCTCCATAAACTAAAATTAGCTTAAGCATAAGCTTATTTGTAGAAGTTTTCTTTTTCTCCTTTAACTTCTCCAAAATCTTATTTTTAATTTATACATAAACTGGTTTTAGCTTACAGAGAAGTTTATTTTATTTTTCTGTCCTATTTTTCTCTTTTAAAAGTGTCTTTAGAGAAATTTATCCAAACAGGTTAATAGGTCTATTGCTTTAGAAAAGCTTTTTTCCTCTACTCTTTTCCTTGCCAGTAAGTAACCTTGTTCATTTGCAGTTGGCTGTATTGGCAACATATATTGGGGATGATTTTCTTGCTTTGTACCACTGTATGAGAAGTTTAGCAGTTAAAGAACCTTTTCCTGATGCCTGGAATAATCTTATCTTACTGTTGGAAAAAGTAAGATGATATTTAGGTTCTTGAGTAAACTACAATTTATTTTATCCTTATGTTTGTTTCTGAGCTTCGTAAGCTGACATCTCTAATGATCTTGCAGAACAGGTCATCACATCTGCAATATGTTTCCAGTGAAGTCTGCTTTGATTTCTTCAAACCGTCTCAAAAGATCAGCAAAGAGACTGAACTGCAACCAAATTATGACAGCTCAAACTGCAACATGTATGAAGGTGAAAGTAATCATTTTATTGACACAAAGTTATGGTCACTTGTAGTCAGAACAATTAGTTTCCTCTTCATAACACCAAGGTACATCTTGGATTCAATTGTTTTTTTCTTTGAATCTCCCACCACCCCCCCCACCCCA